TAAGTGTAGTACTACGTAGTAGTACGATAGTTAGTACGTGTAGTAATAGCGTGTAGTAGTAGTGTGTGTTGTTGTTCGTAGTGTGTGAGTAGAGAAGGAGTAGAGAGAGAGAGAGAGAGAGAGAGGAACTCTTTGAGAAAATAATTATGACCACATTGATCTTGTGGTGGTTCTTTCATTTTATATATAATAATAATACAATGGTGTAATATACACCTTCCTATCTTGTCATATGCAATTATACACTTTCGTATCATCTCATATGGAATATACACTTTCCTATCTTGTTACAATTTTTGAATTTTGTTTCTATTGCTCGTCCTCAAACTCGGTTGGGGAGGCATTTGAAGCTTGAGTTTGAAGCAAAGATCTCGAAAAACATCTTGTGGCAAAGGCTTGGTGAAGATATCAGCTAGTTGATTGCGAAAGGAAACAAAATGGGTGATAAGTAATCCAAGAGCAACCTTTTCATGCATAAAATGATAGTCTAACTCGATGTGCTTTGTCCGTACATGAAAAACATGATTAGCTGTCATGTAGAGAGCACTAATATTGTCACAAAGAAGTGTTGGTGGCTGAGGAAGAGGCAACTCAATATCCCGAAGAATAAAAGAAAGCCATGTCAATTCTGCAGTAGTGGATGCCATAGATCGGTATTTAGCTTCAGCACTGGAACGAGCCATAGTCGAGCTAGTAGTGGATGCCATAGACTGTTTCTTAGCACTCCAAGATATGCAATTGGAACCAAGATAGGTGCAGAAACCAGTGGTTGAACGACGAGTGGTTGAGCACCCGGCTTAGTCTGCATCAAAAAAGGCATATAACTCAAGGGAACTAGCAGACAAGATTCTTATACCACATGATTGTGTACCATTGGATAATTCACTTAACTGCTTGAAAATGAGCAATTTTAGGAGCATGCATAAATTGACACACTGTATTAACACTATACGAAAGGTTTGGCTGTGTTATGGTGTATTGGAGTGCACCAACAATCCTCCGATAAAGTGATGGATCAGAATTCCCATGAATATTATTTTTCATTATCATTGGTATTGAAATAGGTTTGGCACTGAGCATCTGAGCACGATCATGAAGATCCCGAGCATATTTGCTTTGCGATAAAAAAATTCCATTTGAAAAATAAGATACCTCTATGCCAAGAAAGTAGTGAAGAGGCTCAAGATCTTTCATTGCAAATTCCCTTCCAAGTTGGGAAATTAACCATTTTAAAAGATCTGAAGTATCACCAGTAACAATAATATCATCAACATACAGGAGAAGGATAATAGTGCCTTGAGTAGTGCGAGAAACAAATTGAGATGAATTAGCAATGCTGCAATAAAACCCCAATGTTAATAAATAGGAACTAAATTGATCAAACCAGGCTCGTGGTGCTTGCTTGAGGTCATATAAAGCTCTTTTTAATTTGTAGACATGATTAAGATATTTTGAGCTCACAAATCCAAGAGGTTGTTCTATAAATACAGGTGCTTTAAGAAAGCCATGCATGAAAGCATTTTTCACATCAAGCTGTTTGATAGGCCAGTGCCGCACAATAGCTACAGTGAGTACAATCTGAATACTAGCAGGCTTAATAACATGACTGAATGTTTCAGAGAAATCAATTCCAGCAATCTGATTATATCTTTTAGCAACTAGTCTGGCCTTAAGTCTCTCTAGACTACCATCAGACTTTAATTTAGTCTTATAAACCCAACGACAATTAATAATATTCATACCTGAAAGACATAGAACTAGCTCCCAAGTTGAGTTAACATGTGGGGCTCCAATTTCCTCTTCCATTGCATGATGCCAACCCGGATGACCAAGGCAGACTTAATGGATTTAGGTTCAAAAGGGATTTGCTTCAAAAGTAGGAGCACTTGAAATAGTTGCCCTGAATGAGAGAATTCGAGGTCTTCGAGTACCATCTTGAGATCTTGTGATCATTTGATGACGAGAATGCCTAGAGTCCAGTAAAAAATTAGATTGATTGGTTTGTTGAGTGGCAACATTTTCATCACCCTGATTGTGTTGTATCATCTTGAACATCTTAGATTGATGTTGCAGTGGTGACATCTTCTTCTATAAGAGAAGTTGTAGTGCTATTATTGGTGATAGGCAAAGCAATACCTGAGGGACCAAATACATCAAGGGAATCCTATATGGGTGGTTTATGTGAAGGTGATGAATTAGAAGAGGAAGGAGTTTGTGTGTCAGGCTCATAATACTCTGACCATTCTGCATAGGTGGACAGCTCCCTCTGAACCTGAGCACTATCAAACAAAGAATTGGGGTTAGCATAAGGATATATATTTTCGTCAAATACAACATGTCTAGAGATATAGACTCTCCCTGAGGGTGGATTCAGACATATATAATCCTTATGTTGAATATTGTAACCCAAAAATACACATGGAAGAGAATGATGATAGAATTTATTTGCAGCATAGTCTCGAAGGTATGGAAAGCACCGACAACCAAAAACCCGGAGTGAAGAATAATCTGGCAAGCGGCCAAATAACAAAGAATATGGTGAATCCATTTGCAAATTAGCTAAGGGAATCCTATTTATTACAAAGATTAGGGTATAGAAAACTTCAACCCAAAACCGTTTAGGAATTCCTGTATGAAACATCGTTGTAAGACCCAATTCTACAATATTTCTATGTTTCATTTATGCTTTTCCATTTTGTTCAGGGGTTCCCAGACATGATATCTGTTGCACAATTCCATTCTCAGTAAGATGAGCAATGAATTCTTTCTTAGCAAATTCACCACTTCCATCACATTGAAAAATTCGAATTCGAAATCGTTTCTCAAATCTCCTTTCAACCATATGTTAAAATTTCACAAATGCTGAGAAAAAGTCAGATTTTCTTTTCAAAGGATTAAATCCAAGAAAAACGAGTATATTCATCCACAAACACCACATAAAAGTGATAACTCTGATTGGATAAAACTGGAGCAGGACCCCATAAATCTGAATGAATTTTAAAAAGAGGTTTTGTAGAGGTCTTATCAGTACTACTAAACAGGAGTTTACAACTTTTTCCCATCTGTCAACTAGCACAAATATAATGAGATTTATTCCATGCATCAACATTAATCAACTGTTTAGATTCTAAGGAATGGACTACTGTATTTTGAGGATGTCCGAGTTGTTGATGCCACACATTTTCAGATGTTCTATTATTTCGATTAGAAAATAAAGCTTCCTTCACATCCTTAAGTACATAAAGTCCACCCTTGCTACT